GTTGTGAACAAAATTGTTTTCTTAATTTCACTTTTGGATTGGTCATTGTATTTATTAACCTTTTTTTATGTGTAGGATCATGTCATCTGCAATAAATAGTTTACTTTTCCTTTCTCTTCTGTACACTGTATATCCTTTCTCTTGACTTATTTTACTGACTTTGCAGAATAGATAGATCTTAGAGAAAGTGAAGAAATCAGGGTGCTTCTTAGAGGCAAAGATTTATCTCATATAGCGTGGGCATGTTGTTAGAAGATGCTTTCAGGGAGCTCTGGTGGTCTAGTGGCAAGAAGCTGTACTGCAATCCCAGAGGTACATGGTTCAAATCCACCAGATGCTCTGCTGGAGAAGGAGGGATAATTTCCCTTCTGTACCAGTCAGATCTGATTTGACGGTACACGCACAATAAATAAATTTTTAAAAAAAGTTTTTTAGAAAAAGAAGATGCTTTCCTTGGAAAGGGACATTATGCTTGGAAAGGTGGACAGCCCACAAAAGAGGGGCAGATCCCCAATGAGGTGGATTGATAGGGTGATTGCAATGGACTTAAGCATGTTAGGGACAATAAAAATGACACAGGGTAAAACAAGGTTCATTCAGATATATTGTTCTTAGAGTGACAATGAGTCATACTCGATAGCACCTAATGACTACAACAGCAACATAAATTTATATAAAAACTGAAATAAAATACTGAGTCCTTGCTTTGTTCTTGATGCTAGTGGGGAAACATTCAGTCTTGCACTATTAAGTATAATGATTTCTCATTTCTCACTGCTATTGAAGTGATTCCAATTCCTAATGAGACCCCTCTCTGGTTCCCAAGGCTGTAAATTATAATTGGATTAAACTCCTATCTTTTTCTCTGAGAGCTGCTGGTGAGTTAGCAGTTCATTTCGCTATAGACTATACCACAAGGTTTTCTAGATACTGTTTATTAGATGGAAAAATATATCTTTCAATTTGTAGTTTGTATGTAATTTTATTATGAATTGCTGTTGGAATGCCAGTCCACTTTTCTGGGCATTTTAATATGGAGATGACTGCGCTGATTTTGTCTTTTATTCTGTTGATATGAAGTGTTGTACTAATTGAGTTTTAGGTGTTAAGTCAATATCCTCCTGGGATGAATCTCTTTTGAGGCCCTGGGGTGGGTAAGCATAGGCTTCTAACCAAAAAGTTGATGAGGTGTTGAGATGTTAGGGTGGCAGTGAGATTGGTTTTTGCATTTATATATAAACAAGGTCCCCAGCACTAAATTAAAATATTAATCTAGGTAAAAAAAATATATAAAGAACTGAACTCCTGCCCTTTTCTCATTGAGTTAACCACAACATTTTGGATTCTGGATTCCTAATTTATAAGATGATAGTTTAAACCTTAAATGACCCCTAACAGTAAAATCCCCAGGGCTCATGACTAGCTTTTTTTTTTTTTTTCATAGGATCCTGCATTGCTTCAATATAAGCATACCATATAGTCCAATCTTCAAACTCAGGTGATGTCTGAGAATTTATACTTAAACTAGACTTTATAAAGCAGTAAAACTATCCTCAGGATACTTAACGACTGGAGTTGTGTTTTGTTTTTTTTATCAAGCCAAAAAGGGACGATGCATGTTTGAAGGAAAGCTAAAATTCTGTTAATCTAAGTTTGTAAAAAGGTGGTTATATAATTATACATTATTGTTGTTGGGTGTCAAGTTGAATATGACTTGTAACGACTCTATGAAAAACAGAGCTGTGCTGTCTTCATAATTTCTGACATGCTTAACCCATTGCTGCAGTCACTGTATCAGTCCATCTTTTTGAGGGTCTTCTTCTTTCACTGACCCTCTACCTTTCCAAGCATGATCCTTCCAAGGAATAACCTCTCTAAGTCACATGTCCAATATATATAAGACAGAGTCTAGCTAGCCTTGTCTCCAAAAGGGCACCCTGGCTACACTTTTTCTAAGATATATCTATTTGGATTTTTGGCAGTGGACCATGGGATATTCAGAACTCTTCTTCAACATCAGAACTCAAAGACATCAGTTCTTCTTCTGCCATCCTTATTCATTGTCCAGCTCTTAATTCGTGAGTGATTATAAAGACAATGACCTGAATCAGGTGGGCCTTTGTCTTCATATTGACGTGATTACTCCTCAGTAATTTTGAAAAAAAAATTTGAAAAGTCCCTGATAGCAGACTGGCCCAATGGAATATGTCTCCTGATCTCCTGACTGCTGGTACCAGTGGTGTTGATTGTGGATCCAAGCAGAATGAAATAATTGATAATTTCAATCTCCTCTTTATCAGTCAGGGTATTGCCTCTTGGCCTATTTGTATTTTTGTCTTTTTGTTGTTGAGATGCAATGCATTTTGAAGACTGTAGTCTTTCTTAAGTCTAGTATTTCAAGTCCTCCTCACTTTTCAGTGACCAAAGTTGTTGATGAGTCTTCCTCCATTCCTGATGCCACATTCTTCTTCATAGGGTCCAGGTTTTTTTTTAGTTATTTGCTCAGCATACAGATTGAATAAATATAAAGAAAGGGTACAGCCCTGCCATACCCTTTTTCTGATTTTAAATAATAAAGTATTATTCCTTTACTCCGTTCAAACAACAGCTTCTTGGTGTAGGTATAGTTTTGGCACAAGCAAAATTTAAGTGTTCTGGGATTCTTATTCTTCTTAATGTTAGCCATCGTTTATCATAATCCACACAGTCAAATGCCTTTGCATAGTCAATAAGACATAAATAGATATTCTTCTGACATCCTTCAGGCTTTCAGCCAGGATCTTTCTAACATAGCAATGATATCTCTGGTGCCAGGTCCTCTTCTAAACCCATCTTGAACTTCCCGCAATTCTCTGTCAATGTACTCCTTTAACTATTTTTGGATAATCTTCAGCAACAGCACGAATATCAATAAAGATGTACAACGTCAGAAACCCAGTGGAGGGTTGCTATAATTCAGCTTGATTCAGTGACAGTGGTTTTGGAAGGGACTATTGAATATTTTAAATTCCTTGTTAGAATTATATTTTATATTTGCTCCAAATTCTTATGCTTCTCAGTATTTTGATAATAAATTACAAAAGTAATTTTTCATTTTTGTTACCTAACTTAGTCACCTACCTGGTTAGATGAGATTAACCTTACAATATGCATATATGGTCACTGGAAGATTACTTGGGATATCTCAGAAACTATACCTGTTATGTTTTATTATTTTCTTTTAAATAATATTTACTGTTCAAAAAGTCTTAGCCTAAATTAGACAGTCAAAACAATAATCAGTTCTTCTTTAGTTGTTATGAAAATATATATGGTAGTTCTTTGCTTTTCAAAACAGTATTTACTTTTTAAAGTGTTAACCTGAATTAGATTACAAATAACCACAGTGATCTTATCTTCCCATCTTTTAATGATTACATGTAAATATGTTAAATAATAAGGTTCTGTTTGGAGTAAACAGGTAGTTTAATTTACAGTCATTTCAATATTAATTGCACATCTATTATTTGAAAAGTTTATGAGTCATAAGACCAAAATCACTTACTGACATTGTCTGTTAATATAATACATACTTCCTACAGTTCTCATTAAACAGCAGGATAAAGAGCAAAGAGAATGTTAATTTAACGTTTAAAACTCAAATGTAGACATGACTCCAAATAAAACATGAAAATGCCTAAGGAAAGCACTAATAATTCTCAACACCTATTTATGAATTTAATTTAGACATAACTGTTCTGCATTCTCACCAAATATAGCTGGTACACTGACATTTCCTACATTCCTGTTGAAGGAGATTGGTATGCTATTCAATGCAAAGAAAAAAGTTCTGCTACTAAATCCTTTAACTTAAAAAAAAATTAATAAGAAACAGAGACAGTTCTACTTCAGGATATTGTAATAGACAAATGAACTTATCTTAACAGTATTGACATGTTTGTAAATATCAATTGCCATGTTCACACTTGAAAAGCAAATAAATATTTGCCCTATCTCACTGCTTCTCTTCTCAAATAAAATTGTGTCGGGAACTCTGGTAGCCTAGTTTGTAAGGAGTTACCCTACCAAACCAAAGACTACACCTGCCTGCCAGTGTGAATCCACTGTCAGATGGAAAGAGAGAGGAAGAAAGATGGGCAGTCTCCTCCCATGTAATTTACAGCCTCAGAAATCAAATGTAGAATCAGCTATAAGTTGGCTGCAACTCAAGAGCAATGAGTAAAAACTCATTGCTATATTTCTTTTGGATGTTTAGATTTATACATACATGTTTAAGTGCTTTAAAAAGTTCTTTCATTATATTGAAATATAATGAAATGTTGACATTTATCCTTTATAATATCTTCTTGAGGAACAAATTTTTAATTTGAGAAACATATAGATATTTCTAGTGATAACATATTGAATGTAAACTGCATTTTAAGATACACATATAAAACATATATTGTATAAATTGCACTTTAAATATATGTATATAACTTCATACCTTCATACCATGGGTGCTTGAAATGACATTTTGGAAATATGGCCTTTTTCAATAGATTTAATGTGTAAAAAATTAATATTTAATATATTTAATCAAATAATAAAAATAAAATATTGATTATATTTATACTTTAAAAAATACCATATAAGAGTTACCAGAAGGTAATATATAAGTAACATTTCATTTTCAAAAAGTCATTATTTCAGGATCTTCATGAGATGTTAATGTTTCCTTCTTTTGTTTTTTTCCTCTGTTAACCAGGTACTGTGGATCACACCCCTTGGTTACTGTAGTAATATATCTTAGATACGTCAGTGTGTTTGCTCTATCTCTTAGCTACAGCTAAGTTGTGGCTTTGAGGTTCTCATTAGTGTTCAACCCTTTTACCCATCATTGGGAAATGTGTTAGGGATTTTGAAGTAAAAATAAGTGGAGACCATTACTATATGTCTCCAAACACTTGAATTTTAAGTCAAGTGTTTATGTTTTAACCATGCAACCTCCTGTGGTAAATATGACTGACTGCTCTTTGTTCTTACGTACTTTTAAGCAAAGCAAAGCAGCAGTTCGACTGAAAGAAGATATGAAAAAGATAGTGACGGTGCCACTGAATGAGCTGAGAGATTCCACTTACACAAAGTTATTTGGCATCAGCCTCGAAGACCTTCATCAGCAGGGCCTCACTGAGAATGGTGTTCCGGCTGTAGTGTGGCACATAGTGGAGTACTTGACACAGCACGGTAGGTTAAGGCATATTTCAATCATTTGCTTTTTTTTTTTCAGTTTCTCACATGTAAAAAAAACAAAATAAATAAGGGATATTTGGGAGATGAGGTAATAATTAATTACTTCATAATGAAGTAATTGAACTCTAGTGGCCTAGTGATAAGGAGTTGTGCTGCTAACCAAAAGGCAAATGGTTCAAATCCCCCAGCTGGTCTGTGGGAGAAAGATGTGTAGTCTCCTCCCATGCAATTTATAAGTTCTCAAAACCCCCTGGAGAGGCTGGAAGCAGAGGAATGTGGATATGCAGGAGGAGGGGGAGATTAGTCATCGGATTGTCAATTTGATGGGGGGGGGGTGAGGGAAATGGAAAGAATTTGTTTGAATTTGTATTCAAATTTTGTAAATAAACTAGTAGGCAAGAAAAGCACAAAAAAACCCTGCAGTGTCAGCTGTGAGTTGGTTCTGACTTGATGGCACCTAACAACAAGAACAGCAATTATGTCAATATGCAAGACTGGCATATTCTTTAAAGCACTTTAGTTAAAATGGCAGACTAGTAGTGTGTAATATATCTTACCTTAAAAAAATATAACAACCAAAAAAAACCCCAGGCAATCATTGAGAGCATTAATGCTATATGCCATTGTTTTGATGGTACTAATTTGAGTGTATCAAAGTTAATGAAGATGGCATTATGGATAAGGCATGGTTCAGATCTATTCCTAGGGGGTCACTATGAGTCTTAGACAACTTGACAGCACATAACAACAACAATTTGATTAACTAATTTGATCACAATAATCATATAGGTTTGTAGTTTGGAATAATTCATGGTTTTAAGTGCTAAAGTACATATTTTTTTTTCTAATAATAGTGAAATCTCTAGGTTAATTCCAATTGGTAGTCAATAATTTGAAAAGTAATATGACATTTTGGGAGCATTTGTTTTAGCTGAGGTCAATCCTGAATTTAACAGGTACTTCGACCTTAGAAGGCCAAGTATTTTTGTTGTTAACTGAAAAAAGAGAGTCTATACATTCTAGTCAAACAAATAAATCTTCCAGAGTTGTCCTTACAGTCAACGATGGTGAAACTTTGTCTCTACTTGGGACATTCTGTCAGGAGGGGCCAGTCCTTGGAAAAAGATATCATTCTGGGAAAGGTGAGGTGGTGTTGCTGTGTGCTGTGGAGTTGAAACCACGTCATAGCTGACCCTGCAGCGGGTTTTCAGAGACAGTAAATTACACAGGAGGAGATTGCCCAGCCTTCTCCCACAGAGTAGATGAAGGATTTGAGATACATCCTTTGGGATTGCAGCTATGCTTCTCACCACTAGGACACCAGACCACCCTGGGAAAGGAGGAGTGACAGAGGAAGATCCTTACATGCTTGAAATGAGTTGACTCTGTGACTAAGAGAGGGGACTTAAGCATGGCGCAGATAGTGCAGGATGAGGCAAGGTTCCAATCTATCATTCACAGAGTTACTATGAGTCAAAGTCAGTCAGTAGCACCTACAAACTGCACCATATGTTCTAGTAAAGAATCTAGGTGGTACAGTGGTTAAAGTGCTCAGCAGCTAACTAAAAGGTCTGTGGTTTACACCCATCAAATACTCTGTAGAAGAGAGATGTGTAGAAAGAAAGATCTTTCCTCAGTAAAGATTACAGCATTGGAAACCTTGTTTTCTAGATCCACTCAGTCCTATGTGATCATTGCAAATCTACAAATGACTTTGATAACAATGATTTGATTTTACATGTTCTGATTACTAAATATGTAGATGGCTAAATGATGTTTGGCTCTGAAAACTGAGGAACCCGATTATGATCTCACCTTGTAAGCATTCTCTTCTTATTTTCTGAGGAAGGTAAACTGCAGAAGGGCCGGATTTCTAGAGAAGAACTAGATTAGTTCAAGTCCTTTAAAGAGTTAAACACAAAAGATATTATACCCTGTAAGGCAAGATGATGATCTATGAGATCTTGACAAGATGTTATTAAGTTAAAGCTTTCATGAGACTCATTTACATACTGAATCTTGAATAAGGTTTCACCTCACTGATTTAGATAAGATTGCATTTCTGGGTACTTAATGTGTCAGATGGCTTTGTTCACTCACTATTCATTTGGATGTAAAAATATGACCACTTAAAATAATATTTTGATCTTTGTAATTATCATTCTGACCTTTATCCAATAATACTTGAATAATAGTTTCTTGAGCTTATTTCATCATGTAAAACTACTTGATGTTTTAATTTTTAATTCTATGTATTTTTCAAATAGCTAATACATTTATGACACTCATAGTACTTGAGAACATACACTGAAAATTCTCTTCCTCTCAGTGAAAAAAATCTTGCCCCCATTTTACCCTTTCCCCTGAAATCATACCTACTTTTAGTTCTAGGTGAATACTGAAGCCTTTGGTTTAGCATCATAACTCCTTACACACGAGGCTACCAGAGCTCTCTTATCCACCAGCTTCTCTGAGGGAGAAAATGGACAGTCTCCTCCTATGTGGTTTATAGCTTCTAAAAAACTGGAGGGTCAACTATGAGTGGGTTCAGAGTTGATACTTAACAACAGTATGTTACTTCCTATTATTTCTTACTAAGGTATTTAAGACAAGTATTGTTGTTGTTGTTGTTATGTGCCGTCGAGTCGTTTGTGACTCATAGTGATGCTATGTACAACAGCCCTAAACCCTGCTCTATCCTGTGCCAATCACATTGCCTCTGACACACCCATCCCGATTACCCCAGTCACTGAATCAATCCACCTCATAGAGGGTCTTCCCCTCCTGCGCTGTCCCTCCACTCTACCCAGCATGATATCCCTCTCCAAAGACCTGTCTCTCCTTGCAACATGTCCAAAGTATGTCAGACGAAGCCCCAGAATCTTTGCCTCCAAGGAGTAGCCTGGTTTAACCCTCTCTAGGATGAATCTGTTTGTTTACTTGGCAGTCCATGGTACATTCAATACTCTTCTCCAGCACCACAGCTCAAAGGCGTCAATTCTCCTTCTGTCCTCCCTAGTCATTGACCAGCTCTCTGATGCATAACAAGTGATTGCAAAGACCATGGCCTGTATCAGGCGCACCCTCGTCTCCAAAGAGACACCGTTGCTCTTCAGTACTTTAGAGAGGTCCTTAACAGCAGACTTTCCCATCGCAATACGTTTTTTGATTTCCTGGCTGCTGGTGCCAAGAGTGTTGACTGTGGAGCCAGGCAAACTGAAGCTGTGAACAATCTCAATCTCTTTGCCATCCATCCTGATGCTACCAATTGATCCAGTGGTGAGAATCTTTGTCTTCTTGACATTGAGCCTCAGTCCATACTGAAGGCTGCAGTCCTTGACCCTCTGCAGTAAGTGCATGAGGTCCTCCTCAGTTTCAGCGACACGTTTATATTTATATGTTTTTCCCCTTTTAATACAGACATTATCTATCCTGGACTCTCATCTGAATCTTAATTTTTAAAAAAATTGCTTAATAGTATTGTTTTGAAAATTGCTTCAATATCATATCAAGAGCTTTAGTCATTTTTCTTTTAAGATATCCTTCTGTGCACTGTTTCTGTATTTGTATATCTATTTTTTTTTATTTGTTACATATTGAGAGGCATTGAATTATTCCCAGTCTTTTTTTTCTATTTACACACAGTGATTCACTGATTACCTCCACTGTGTCATTTCAAGCGTATGTCAGGGGATAAGTAGGTTAACTTTCTAGAAGTGGATTGACGGGGTCAAAGGAATGTGCATTTGTCATTGTGATCATGTTATTGACTGCTTTATATAGGAAAAAAATTCACATCAGTTTTTTAGGATATTAGCAAGTTTTCAATCAGGATTGGTTTTCTTCATACACTGTGGTTATAGTTTATAATAGGATGTATTTAGGTAATACAAACTAAATTCTTTAATAACCTACATCCAAAATTTCACTCGTTGTCATCTAGTGAGAACTGGCACATACTTGACACTCCATTGGGTTGTAGAGGCTGTAAATTGCTCAGACCTGAATAACTATTTTTCTTTAAATTGTGATTTGAGTGAAAACTTATAAAGAAATTATTTTTTTTTCATTCATTCAGATGTTCCTTTCTTTTCCCTGGCCCCATTTTAATCTGTAATGCATGTCTTGTTCCAGATTGTTAATTGTAATACACATGGTATCTGATTGTCCATTCATTTCAGTCTGAGCTTCCTTTCACCTGTTCCAATGCAGTTTTCCTTATCTATCCATTCTTTTCCTGTTCTCCTCACCACCACCTCCTATCCTATTACTCTCCTATTTTTATTATAGTGATCTTACACAGTATTTTTCGTTTTGTGACTGATTGCTTTCATTAAGTATAATGACCTCCAGACTCATCCATGTTGTATAGTGTTTCATGAATTCTTCATTGTTTTTTAGTGTTGTACAATACTTTGTTGTATGAATGTATCATAGTTTCTCTATCCATTCATTAACTGGCAGTTGGGGCGCTTCCATCTCTTGTTACTGTTTCATTCTTAATTAAGAGTGTTTACCCACTGGAGGGCTAGCTGTGAGTTGGTACCAACTCAAGGGAACATAATACTAACAGAATATGAAAGATAAAATCAGTAGTGAGGTCCTTTCAAGATGCATGTCTTGCTGATACCCTTGATCTACTGAACTAGAATCTTGATTGGCAAGGGAGGATCTGATACCTAATTTTAAAAAGCAGTCCCTGGTTAGGGCCCCTGGGTAAGGAAGTCCACCGTGGCTTGCAGAAAGGCAATTGGAATCCACTCAGAGACACTTTAGAAAGCAGGACTGGCAATCTCCTTCTGAAAGATCGTAGCCTTGAAAACTAATGAAGCTGTTGTACTTTTGTGCACATGGGGTCTGCATGAGTTGGAATCATCTTTGCAAATTAGGTCAATAAGTTTTATTTAATTTTTTAAAATTTTATTTAACAAGTGTTTTTTGTGGCCTTGGTATTTACAACAGGCATTCTGTCAGGTAAGAGGATGTAAGGATAA